GAGCCGTTATTAACTAAGATATTGGCACTGAAATTATAAAAATACTTCCAGTTGTGTATGTGTGCGCTTATTGAAATTGCTTACGACTTACTGCGCAAATAATGCATTCTTTTGTAAAATTTATTGAACAAAAGACCAGTTACGCGAAACAAGTAAATAAGCGACTTAATTGTTTGAACGTGTTGAAGCTAACAGGAAGAGAGACTATGAATACCTTGTTGGAATGTACTGATGCGGTAGAGCAGAACAGTGTTTAAGTTGGCTAACCGAGTTTACAGCGGGAAAGTGGAGCTGGCGCGAAAATCTAGCTGTTCCCTCATTGGCTCGAACATTTGGCGTGTTCGTTTGCCCTCTTGCCACTTAGCTGTTCTAGTTTGTTTGCCAGTAGAACTGAAAGACCTGTTTCTTCTTTCCAGAACGCCATAAGTTCCTGAAGCTTGCGTCAAACTGCGGTCATAAGCATATCAACCCAATCCTTACTTAACAGCAAATTTATTCAATTTGACGATGGTTGAGGTAAACTCTCCGCCATTACTAATATTGTTTAGCCTGTCCAAAGACATTCGGTACATACCCTCGTTTTTCGTTCCCTCAAGCGAACTCATGATATGTTTGAGGCCGACCAGGCCCGCCTCCCGGAACTAGATGAGAAAGCGTATGTTGTATTTTCGTACATTGGTATTTTCAGAGAACAAATAAAAATAAATGTCAAAAAGCGTGATCAATATGGACCAATTTTACACCAGCCTACTGCTACGCCTGCTCAAAACAATACTCTTAGTAATTGAATTTAGGATTTTGTTCATACCCTTAGGCCTTCCAAGTTCGGAATCTGACAAATCTGTCGTCCCTGTTGAAAAACAAGGTCCCACCAAGTATCTGTTGCCTTCTTAAGTTAACTTTTTAAGGTTACCGACCAACTCATCTGACACGCACATCGTACAAATCGGCAATGAGAAACTTCTTCTACCCAAGAGAGCACCGACGATGCCGAAGCCCGTATGGCACCCCCCATGGAAACTATTTCGAGTATGCGGTGTTTTTTATTACCAAACTTCAAGGTTATCAGTGGGCATTCCGGCTGGGTCAGATGCATTTCATTTGACCCTACGAATGAATTTTTCGCCACCGGTGCTGCCGACAGAATGATTAAGGTAGAGCCACATTTTTTCCATCAAAGTCTTTTAGATTTGGGATTTTGCAAGTGGCACACTTAAACTTACACTGACTGGTCACATTAGTGCCGTGCGCGGTGTGGTTGTGAGTCCGCGCCAACCTTACTTATTCTCTTGTGGTGAGGACAAGACTGTCAAATGTTGGGACCTGGAACAGAATAAGGTACACACATTTTTCATTAACCACATATACATGAATAGGTGATTCGACACTATCATGGACACATGTCTGCGGTACATGCAATCGACCTACATCCAACTCTTGATGTCTTGGTCACCTGTGGTCGGGATGCAACAGTACGTGTCTGGGATATGCGGACAAAAGTAAGTAGCCATTCTAATGATCGTGATATACTATATGGAATGCATTGCATTGATGGATCCTCCGATAATTTATGCAATACCAAAAATCAACTTCATACTTACGTGGTTTGTTATGGCATTCGTAAATGCATACGGCACTCATTAAATAGATGCCTTTGCCATGTTAAGTAATAGATCACCCAAATACCAGCCGTCTGACATCGTAAAGTGGGGAGAAAAGGTGGGGCTGATACTAAAGTACTCTTACTCATAACAATGCATGGTATTCTTTATTTAATAAAGTGACATCCCTTAAACTAATGACCAGCCGGCAATCTTGGTTTGTAGACTTGCCAGCAAAGGAGAGAATCTAGCCCTGGTTTAGAATGAGGACTACACCGGCGCTATATTCTTTCCTTTTTACCCAGTCCACACGTGTGTGTTTCTAACCCGTTTGTTATGACAAAAACGCATTACCCTCTAATTCCCAGTCGGCCACGCAAATAAGCAATGTAAAATGGTAGTGGGAACATAACTTATTCATTTGAAATCAGACGTTGCATTTTTTTCAGTCTAACAATGAGACTCGAGTTAACAGTTGTGACTTAAACAGTTTTCGATGGTAGAACTGACTTGTTTTTCATTGTCAGGCATAGATTCACAGTCTATACTCCTTCCTATTATCAGACGATACAGTGGAGTCTGGGATACCGAGCACTGGCAAGCATTTTGTTTCGCTTAGCGAGCTTCTGTTTAGTAGGACTACCGGGGATTCCATTTTTTCGAAGTTGAATTGCTCGCACAAACTGTGTGAAAAGACAAGACTGAATTAGCCATCCGTACCTTAACCGCCTCTGCTGTCGCAAGCGTTTATTAACATTGGGTCTCGCAGGCACTTTCTAGCTGCTGAAAATTAACTTGAAGTCTATTCGATGGCTACTGACAATCAGGTGCACAAATATTGCATCAAGTGGGCTTCACCTTTCCTCCGTGGAGCCATATCATATGCTCTAGCTTCCATCTTCGCAGTCGTTCGTTCCTGCTTCACAGGATCAAGTGCGGGCGTTAATGTACATTTAGGTGTGGAAATGCAGTTTATTCTTACGTTAAGTGCGAGAAAAGAGGATGCTTGAAAAACCCAACTTTTCTTGGCCGTTGGGCACGTGCGCACTATATCAAAGTCCTTGCAACGTTGAGAGAGTTCACTGACTGAGTCTCTTCGAAACGGTAGTAGTCCCCTTTCTGCTGTCGGCACTTTCTTGTTTGGTGGAGACACTGGTGCATGTTTCGTGATGAATATCCTGAGGAAGGGAAATGCTTGATAGTTTTTTCACCTTTCGCTGTCCAGCTCTGACTTATATTACTTGTAAGAACTGTTGATCTATTCGTTTTGCAGCTCGAATAACTGTTAGTACT